AGATGATGGTCTTATTTTGTGGAATAGTTTATGGAGCAAACTATCAACGAGCTGATGTTTAACTTTCATGCGGCGTGCACACTACATGTATTTTGTTTCAGAAGAGAGGTCTCAGGCTAAAAACCCCTAAAACAAGCAGGACAAAAGAACTAATCCAGCCAAATGTCCTGAGAACTGCAGCATGCCAGACTGCATTTGCTCAGCTTAACTGGCCAAAAGACAAAGACAAGGTATAGCAAGGTAGTTCAGGCTCCAATCTGATTTTTTACAGTACCCGGTCTAGAAAACATTTTGATTTAATTATAGCAGTTTGAATTTCTGTAACTGATAGCAGAGATGGTATCACAAACTTTACATTGGAGGTAACAAGAGTTACTAAGCACTAGCAAAATACAACTGTGCAATTGCTTGCCACTGTCCTGGTAAGAGCCAGATATCGGTAACACTTCAATTTTGCACCTCTCTTCTAGTAACCCATGCTTATTGTTAAAACAAAGCAAAACAAACTTCAAGTACTGCTTAGGGAGCGGGGGGGGGGGAAGCTGCATTCTCCCTCACACCCCTCGTACAAGAGCACATTACATCTACTATGAAAACTCCTGCTTGATTTGACTGCGTTGAGTTTTCCAAACCACCATTGTTTAGGCAAGAAAATTATCAGCAGGCAGAGCGCTCATTTCCGTTGGCATGGGACTTGARCACAACGCTTACTAGCAACGTCTCCACCTTGTTATTAAGGGTTCCATGAAACCACAGCGTATTTTCTTGCAATCAACTGCCTACAGGGCGAATGTGGAAACGCAGCGTGGCCTCTGAAGCGCTGCCTTTTTGGATCCAWAGGAGTGTGCAGCCTAGCTCTCTTTTGAAGCGAGGGGGCGGGTTTCTGAACTCTCTTAAATGGCACCAACGTCTCGGCCCCTGAACTCCCCCGCTAGCTTCAATACAGACCACAATTTATACTCGGTACGTCACCTGCACCTTTAAACACCTCGCACCTTACTCTTTCCCAAACCGTAATGGCTAGAATGAAGCATTGCTCTGCTGCGCTTGGGAAACCTACTAGAAGAGACAGAGAGAGAAAAAAAATAATAAAATTAAATCTGGCACGTGCAAACGTGGACACAGGGAGGCGCGCGGCCAGGCCGACAGCGCGCGGGCACGGGCGCTGCCGCGGCGATGAGGGCCTGCCCATGCGGGCAGGGCCGCGGCCGGGCCCGAGCGCC